AGGCCACTCGCTCACTCCTCCCTGCCCCCTCCGTGGGATGAGGAGAAAATATAAAGAAAAGCTCATGGGTTGAGACACGGACAGGGAGGGAGCACTCACCACTTAGGTCACAGGCAATGAACAGACTCAACTTAGGGAAAAAACCAAATCAATTTAATTTACTGCTAATAAAATCAAAACAAGGATAATGAGAAGTAAAACCAAATCTAAAAACACCTTCCCCCCACCCCTCCCTTCTTCCTGGGCTCAACTCCACTCTCGGTTTTCTCTACCTCCTCTCCTCCAGCGGTGCAGGAGAAGAGGGAATGGGGTTTGCCGTCAGTTCATCACACATTGTCTCTGCCTCATTGTCTGTCTTCCTCCTCAGGGGGAGGACTCCTCACTCTTCCCCTGCTCCAGTGTGGGGTCCCTCCCACAGCAGAGAGTTATCCACAAACTTCTCCAGCATGGGTCCTTCCCATGGGCTGCAGTCCTTCAGTCACAGACTGCTCCAGCATGGGCTTTCCCATGGAGTCAAAGCCATCTTTGGGGGCATCCACTTGCTCCGGCATGGGCTCCTCCACGGGCTGCAGGTGGGCATCTGCTCCCCCACTCACCTCCATGGGCTGCAGGGGGACAGCCTGCCATCTCACCATGGGCTGCACTGGCAGCATCCCCTCCTCCAGTGCACCTCCTCCCCCTCCTTCTTCACTGACCTTGCTGTCTGCACAGGGGTTTCTCTCACGTTCCACTCCCCTTTCTGCTGCAGGCTTCCCTTCTTAAATCTGTTATCCCAGAGGTGCTACCACCGTTGCTGATTGGGTCAGCCTTGGCCAGCGGTAGGTCTGACTTGGAGCCGGGAAAGCTTCTAGCAGATTCTCACAGGAGCCACCCCTGTAGCCCCCTCCCCTGCTACCAAAACCCTGCCACACAAACCAGGATGAAGTTTCACTCACCCATCATGCACTGGAACTACTCATCCACCAAAGGGGTGCAGTGTCTGCAGTGAGAAATCCAAATGTTAGCACAGGATGTGTTTTTCCCTTCTGTGCTGGCCTTTTTCATCTTAGCATCTCAAAGCATTTTAAATAATGCATTAAGCCTCCATAAGACAATGGTATATATATTATCTACTCATACATGCAGGCAAATCATGGTAGAAAGATTTCACAACTTGCTCAGAACTACTTAGTGACTTCGTAGCATAACTGGAAATACACCCACGTACCCAAACTCTCTGCCTTGTACTTTAAAATGATGCTTTCCTTACCAGCCACTTACCCACACATAAACAAGGACAATTTGGATTGCTCATTGTGCCAATCCAAAGCTGCTCTCCTCCAGGAGAGATCTCTTATGATCTCTCTCCCTGCAAATGCTACACTCTGACCTCAAGCTGCTGAAAGATTTCAAAGGAGCTTCATGCAGTCCTACTGAACAGCACAGGAGGATGGACCCTTTACTTCCTCTCTATCTGTTTACACAACATGCCAAGACCAATTAGTCTCATCTCCCGGGAACAAGCTCAGCAGCTCCAAGGAGTCTTTGTGACACCCTGGACTTCCTTACACTTCAGCTGACCCTTGCACCCCTGATGCCTTCACCTTGAGCCAATAAAGGATGCCCCTGGTCTCCTTGACCTTGTGCTCTCAGCATTGCCAAAAAAGCCAGATCTGCTGGCTTAACAGGGTGGCAGCAGCCACAGTCCTTCTAGTACATGCACGGCCTTTGTTAAATAGTAAGTGACTGGCAGCCAGGCCTGCGTGTAATGATGCTGTTGTCCAAGGACTATGATCAAGGCGTGGCTGGGAGAGGGCATTCGCTGCAGTAATGTGGGTGTCTGCACAGGCCAGGGTATTTCTGCCCAATTAGGGCAAAGGAAGAAATCTTCTGAGCTAATTTTCTAGTCCTTTGGAGGAGTGAAGAAAAGCATGCATTGAATTGCCCTTGCTCAGCCTCAATAGAGAAGAGACTGAGTGGCCAGCTGACCAGCCAGCCAGGGTAGAAAATACACCCACCAACTGTCCAAACTCATGGCTGGGGCACAAAAGGGCAGAATCACTGCCCCATGAAGCTGGAAAGACATGGCCTGGCACCTAACCAGAGTAGGACTTTTTAAACCTGCTCCTGTGCAGGTTTAAACCTTTCCTGCTGAGGAAGGCTGAACTGAAAGGCCCAGATGGAGATTTCCATTTATCTACAGGCCATGGAGATAGAAGCACAGCAATTCCCTAAGCCCTTTAAAAGCACTCAGATTGCCCCCAACCCACTTGTCTCTCCCAAATTTGCTCCCCTTCCTTACCAAAAGGCACCCGATCACTGGAACACACGAAGACATTTGGACACCACGTGCCACTGATCCATGGCCTTCCTGCAAAAGCTGCCCTGTTTGTTCAACCCTAAGAATAGCTAAGCATCCCAACACAGAGCCACTTCACACCAAAACTCCCTGGACCAATTTTCCATCACCATCCAACATAAACAGGATTTGATGCAAAGGCAAAACACTTGGCTTCTCTTCATCCACCCCTGAGTAACCACATCATGCACTCAAAAGCGTTGTCTTGTCTCAGAACACATTTGCCTCTGGCACAAATTATTCTTGCCTGATATTCTTTGTCATCTGTCAGCTCCACAGAGCTGCAGGAATGGGAAGTAAGGCTTAGGGACAAGAGTGAAAATCCACATCTGCTGCTCAAATAGAGCTTCCAACTGATCACGCTTTTCAGCTGTATTCTCATGGGCAAGCACATGATAGTAAGGATAAGAATCAGGATAAAGCAAGAATAGCTTTATGTTCAGAGCCCAGATGAAGCCTTAGAGTAGCCAGTTTAATATTATCATTCCTCATTTGCATTACCTGACTAAAAAACGCATGATGCCAAGTGCTGCCCAGGCAGTTAATACAAGGCATTTTTGTTGGAGAATGAAAACAGACCAAGAAAAAGAAACACCCTGGTCCCATTTTACAAGTGGGGAATTGAGGTACTGAACAAGACTTGCACAGCTTCATACAAGTATTTTGTGGTAGAACTCAAAACAAAACCCAGATTTCAGATCCTGTCACAAGACATGAGATCACTGATTTTAGCTAAGCTGATGGGAATCCAAATGTAGTAGAAGACTGAATCTACAACATTATTATTTCTATCATGATTTTTGTAGCAGAAACAAGTACAGGTAGCAAGCAAGAAGTCATCATAAAGCTTCAAGATGTTACTAGTTGAAAATTAACCAATTAAAGCTATAAAAATAATACAAGTGACCAAACACTGTTACAATACTCAGGCTGCATCTCACTTTGTATGTTTCCCCTCCAACCCCCCCAAAAAGTACACTTTTAAATTAAAACCACTAGCTGAATATCCTTTTTTTAATAACAGGGATTCCACAACCTAGAAGTGTTAACAACACCTATAGCAAAAATGTCATTTAAAACACACACCCCCACATCTACCTCAGATTTCAACTTCTTTTGCAAAAATCTTTGCCACAATTAATCCAGAAGTGTAAAGAGCAGATGGATCAGGAAGCAAATCATTCTCACAAGGCTTCCCAGAAAAACCACAACAGTTTGGAAAGTTTATTTAAATTAGCCCATAACCTTTACCAGCACACCCCCAAACACACTGCTGAAAGGAACTTAAGGCAGACCAGGTAGATGCTATGCATGGGATCCAAGTCAGAGAAAGCACCTGGGCCAGAAGGAACACTTCTCTATTTACTCACATGCAGTTTGAAAAAAAGAAGGCTGGGTACAGGCTTACCAGCTTTCTTCTCCTCTCATTAGGATGACAGACTAATTAGTCTGTCAATATCAGCAGAAGATTTGGGTGATGTGAAATGCAAGACTGGGCCTTTTGAATGTTTTGTGAGCAGGAACTTGGCTAGAAGGGGAAAGAGGGGGCGAGGAAAACTGTACTAAACCACAAGTCTCTGCATTATGTATTCATGCAATGTATGCTGCCAGCAGGACTGAGAACAAGCAGCAATGTAATGAGGAAATGGAGGGGGTCTCACTTATACATCTGGGAAAATAAAAACATAGTCCTTTCTTTTAGTGGATCCATCTTGTAGACTTAAAGGGAGTGTTTTTAGTGAGGTTAAAACTAGTACATCCAACCAGAGGCAGTGAAATTCTTCCCTAATGAGAGGAAATTCAGAACTGAAAATAACTTGTCTAACTTGCTGCAATTTACAAGGGTCAGCAGTTGTCTGCAGATACTCTTTCCAGAACAACAAATAATGAAGAGCAACCTGAAATATGAACTCTACAGCAACACCTTCTGAAAGAGAGGCACCAGATGGGCACTGTGCAGGGCAACCCACCCCACCGGTACCAGGCATGTCCCATTTCCCAGCCTCCGCAGAGATGAGGCAAACTCCTAGCATTCACACACCTCAATCCCAGGTCCCTACAAAAGTCCTGCAAAATCAAGAGTAACTGCATCTAGAGCAAACTGTAAACAGTTTGTATTTTTAAAGTGTTAAGATAAAAAGCACTGGTTTACATTGCTGTAAAACTCCTGGGAGTCATAAAAATACCTGGGCTCAAGGAGGTGAACAAGTGTGGAAATATCTATCATCAAGTCTACAACCACTTTGATCACAAAGGTATTTTTTTACATATCCCTAAGCAATTAATTTATTTTGGAGTAAATGGTATGGGTTAGATCATGGCAGCAGGGGTAACTTGACAAAAGTGAAGTCCAGTGATTTTGTTCCTGTGTCATGGAACAAACTGGACAGTATGGGTGCTGCCTTCCTAATGGGGGTAGCAAGAGAACAGCCCAACTGTAGCAAGAGCCACTCAAGTAGCAGCAGCTTTACCTCTAAGAGAGTTATCTACATCTAGGCCTAGTTTATCCTAGACAGCAGAATTACCAGTTACGCCCCTGAAGACATGATCACAAGAAGCAACCCTATGAATTTACTGAACCCTGCCTCAATAACCCTTTTCCATCTTTGCTTACAACACCTCTCAAGTGATGCGGCTTTCCGCATATGAAGTTCTGCCTTACCTGCTGCATTTTTTCCAGGTCAAGGCTGGGCCTGCTGACCTTATCCCCGTATCCTTGTCGATGTCTCTTACAAGGCATGACTTGCTCAAGGCCCGCCCCAACACTTGTGAAGATTAAAGGTCTGGAGGCTGGGCTCCGCACCAGGGGCTGGAGTCTCTTGGGAGGGGAGGCACTGAACAGCACAGGGCTTGGGCTGGCGTACAGGCCATCAGCCTGCTCTGCCACAGGCTGGAAGGACATCGCGCACAAGTTCTTCACTTCTTCATCACTGGAGGAGGTATTGTTGCTGTCGCTGCAGCAGGCAAGCCTGCTGACCTGGGACCACTTCCGCTTCTCAGCAGCAAACTCTCGGTTGATGCGCTCCAGCTCCTCTTCTGAGCTGTGGCGGTCAAGGCTGGCATGGAAGAGGGCCCGAACCTTGCAGCATTGGTTCTCCTGGTTCTGGAGCTGGTTGGTGGCCAGAGGGGTCAGGGTACAATTCCTTCTTCTCTCTGGTGGGAGGAGAAGATAAAGGAGTGGCAGGGCAGATCTGTGTCCCACGCCCTAATAAACTGGGGCTGCTTTCTCCTGACCTGTTTTTTTTTAATCTCCTCCCAAGTAAACTTTTGAGCTCTTTTCCCACCTCTTCTTCCTCAGAAGAAACACTCCCCAGCTGAATGCTTCCCTTTGGAAGTTTCCAGACCTTTGTTTAGACCTGACTGCTAAACATCCCCTCGCAAGATGTCACCTGGAATTCTAGCTGCAGAGCAAGAACATGGACCTGCCGCCCACCTCATCCCCTGCACGTGAAGAAGACATGATCTTACAAATGCGTTAGGCACTTGCCTCTAGCTAAAAACATTAAGTTCTAGTGACCAGTTCTCAAGGCAGAGGAGGCAAGTTACATTATTCTAAGCAGTATGTCTATGGCTCAAATAGAGATCTGGTTTCTGGAGGTTGAAGTCCTCTTTCTATTACAAGGCTTGTCACATAAGAGAGCCTGCTTTCAGCCATAAGCTGGGCACGCTTTACCTGTTCTGCTGAGCTCCATGTTAAGCATGTGAAGCAGGGATTTGAATTTTGATAGGACATGTCCTGTGGGTCAGGAATTTAACTTCTGCCTTTGCATAAGAATCTACTTGAATTTGGCTAAACAATGATAAAACACAGGGCATGCGCAAATGGCAGAGACTTAACATAGCTCAACAGATGCATTTATTACAGATTTCACCCTGCAGCTCTAAGCTGCTTCATACTAGAACCAAAAACAACAACAGAGCACATGTCTATCAAAGACCCTCGCTAGAGATTCAAGAATAGGACTGCTCAATACCAACAGTACAGGAGGAAGGAAGCGAGCTAATCAATGAGTCCAGGGGAATGAGGAAAGTGAAGGTCAAAACTCAAAATGGCAAGAAAGAAGAAACCTAGAACAAAGATGACAGGTGCACAAGCATAGAACAGAAGACAAATTTTTAGTTCCAGCTCTGCTGCTGGCCCAATTGTAGACCTTCTCTGCCCCATGTTGGCAGCACTGGGACCTTAACATGTGGTTAACAACTTCCATCTCTGGTAAGAAAAGTGTGACTGCAGCATCGGATAATACCAGCTTCTCCCTGTGATGTCTCAAAGACTTCAAGGTGACTCATTTAATGCATCTGGTTGTGGTACACTGGGGACAGAGAAGGAGGCACTTCCAAGAGCACAAGTGAAAAGCAAAATGGACTTCAGCTGTAGCATCCCAGGACCCTCCTATCTCATCCCTTTACCTCTGTCGATCTGAGCAAGTTCCTGGTTCTCTCCCTCAGAGTCATCGCTGTCCTCATCACTTGGGGGGTAGGAGATCTAGGGGGCAAGAAGAAAAGGCTTCATCGTGAACACTGATTACTTCCCTGCTGCTGCCCAAGTCACTTCCCCCACCCTCCCTCTCTCATATCCTGCAGGCGTCCACCCCACCTAATCACACCACCGGGCTGTAGCACCTCCCTATATACACATCCTCATCTCCCAACCTCAAACTCCCATCGTATCCTCTTAACTTGCAGCAACACAAAACACACAGCCTACCACTATCTCTACCTTACTCCACCGCCAATTCTTTCCCAAGCACAACACACACACCTTGCCCTCAGCTACCCAGACATGCAGCTTATAACCTTCATGGCCTACCTACATCATGTAGACAACTAAGTTTCCCACTGCCCAAATAAAGACACATCCTGTCAACAGCACTATCATCTTGCAAGGCACCCACAAATGAAGTTGCATGTTAACTTTAGCCATCCTATGTATGTACCCACACTTCCCCCTCGAAGGCACACACACATAAGCCAAAGAACAGATTCATCTTGCTTTCCTACACGACAGCTCTGAAGAATGTAATAGCAATAAAAGAAACAGGATTTCACAGAAATGCAAACAATAACATTATGCTGTCCCCACCAGCACAGAATCTTACAGTACCACTGAAGACCCTTAAATACTCCAAGAGTAATGACAATTCACATATTTTGTCTGTCAGGAATTTTCAGGAACATTTGCTCTGGGTCACCCAACAGACTTCACCAAACCACTTGCTGTATACCCAAATCCCCACTTACTCAAAACATGTTTGTCATGGTTTAACCCCAGCCAGCAACTAAGCACCACACAGCTGCTTGCTCACTCCCCCATCCCACAGTGGGATGGGTGAGATAATTGGGTCAAAAAAAAAAAAAGAAAATTCATGGGTTGAGATAAAGACGGTTTAATAGGACAGAAAAGAAGAAAATAATAATGATAATAATAATAAAATTACAATAATAAGAAGAATTGGAATATACACAATGCAATTGCACTTAAACTTGGTAGTTGCCTCGAGAAGGGTTGAGAGATCTAAAACCAAGCTTTTGTAGGTCAGATAGATCCCACTGCTGCTGAGTTTCCTACATAGAGGAAACCCTACTTACCTTGTTCCTAAAGTGACTTTTGTTCTGCTGCATAGAGCATACCTGGAAGTTATTAGATCAAACCTCTGAGCTATGCAGCTTAGTATGTGTCTCTAGCAACGGCCAAAACCAAGTAAGTCAAAGGAAAATGCAATACTTCAAAAGAAACCTTTCTAAGAGGCAGTTCTGGAATAACAAGATCATTGCAAAATGAGCTTTATTATTCCTTACACCTTTTTATTCATAATAACAACAAACATTCCCATCATTCTTAGCTGAGTCTCACAAGCTGCTTGCCCACAACAGAATTCAGTGGCAATAGGTTTCAAAAGGTTACATGCTGTGTTTCCATTTCAAAGTGTCTGATGTGCTGTGCTTGACTTTTATAGAAGGTAAGGCAGCATGAAACCATTACACTGATATGGACCCATTTCACCTCCACCACTGTTCCTAGGAAAATGTTCTTGGAGAGTTTCAGCCTCCCAGAGACCCAAAAGAGCAACTACGCTTAACTAGGGGCCTATGAAAGACACATGTAGCTGATGCAGAGAGAAAGGAATAGTGAAGAAATTCTGACTGATACTGAATTTGACAGCTATTAAGTCAACACACCTATTTTGTGACAACCCTCCAGGATCATCTTTGGGGTTTTGTTCCTCCACAAGAACTGTTGCCACCTTTTTTTCTCCTCTTTTTTTTAAAGCTACCTTTTGTCCTTCTATATTTATATAGCCCTTTAAGAAATCAGAAAATATTTTCCTTCCTTGCTAGTCTTTAAACTACTCTCCCAACTGTCAAATGATGAATGGGGAAAGTGGCACAGATTTATCCCCATTGCTGATATTCTTTAAGAAAACACAGGGGGTTGTTTTTCCCACCACAACTACAATTTTCTTGTATATATTCACACACACGTCATTTAATAAAAGGCAGCTGGCACTGAGGAACACTGCCAAATTAACAGACTTCTAGTTGCCCCCAGAACAGGTATAATACCTTGTTTGTGCCATAGTAGTTCATAGAGAGGACAGCTGACACTGAGGTGCCATTGTGCTAGCTGCTGTACAGACAGACAGTGGTCCTGTCTTCATTACAAAAGCTAAGGCTCCAATTCTAACTCAAGAGGTACTGACCTTAGTCTGTGGCTCATTCCCACGTAAAAGCCTTTCATTTGGACAGGGTTTTCAGTGAGGTTAACGACTCTGCCTGGGAAACCTATTAGCTCCAGTTTTTGTACTATGTAAATGTCAATACACGGCATGGTGCTGCTTCCAAAAAAGAGGCAATGACATCTAGCACATGCAGGTCAGAGAGCTGCTGCACAATGTCACTGGCTTGAGATGCTTAAAACAGGAATTGGATTTGAGTCAATGAGTGACATTTTGAAGGTCTTTGTGTCTACCGGTCCTGGGCTTCCAAAATATTCACTCCTCCCTGTACAAGAGCAATTTTTCCAGCCCCTAGTCTCATATAGATAACTCTCCTCTGCAAAGTCCTCCCCAGTCCCACAGGCAGCCCAAGACTAATCCCCTGTGAGTTGCCTCGAACACTTCTCTACAGGCTTTGTTCAGAGCACCTGCAAGAGAAAAGAAATCTCTTTCAAACAAGATATAGAGTCTGTGGATTTGGTCCCATAGTATATCCCAAAGAAATTAAAGCGGTAGGACAATATGAAAGGCTTCATGGAAAAAAGAGGCTCCCATGGTCTTGCTAATCATCCTCCTGATGCTAGCCATGGAAAAGTAAGCACCCGCTCCTTAACCAACTGCAATTTTTATGAGCAACATCAAATGCTTTTCAGAATCAAGGCAATTAGAGACACCTATCGAGCCACTTTTCTTGACACCCACCCTTTCTTTTGGAAGAACATACCAGTAGCACACTCCTCTTAATATTCAGACTTGGTGTCTCCCATTATTTCCACTGGTGTCATTACACCCTTGCTCTAGACAATACCCTCAGAAATTAGGATATTTTCACAGTATACATCACAGGCTAACCACAAAAAAAAAAGCCTTAAAATCCAGCAATTGTGCATTTTGTGCATGAATGAAGTAAACAGATAAGACTCAGAAGTCACATTGCTTCTGATGTCCCATGACCTGCACTGTCTCTCAGAAGTCCTCTCATCTCTGAGCAAATACGCTCCTACTCGGTCTTCCTTCACATCTTTCAGAGACATCATCATTTTGCTCCCATTTGTCATTTAGCAAGGTCTTCTATTTTAGTATTGCTACATTCTCTTTTTATTAGTAAATTCTTCCACAAATTATATCCTGGTTGTGGGAACTGAAGTCTCCCAAGCTCCTATACATGAGACCCTAGCTCCCACATTCCCTAACAGAGAACCATCGTTCATAGCTGACTAACCATTAATCTTAGAGTTGAAATTTTACACATGAAACTCCTTGCCTTAATATACCACACAGGCAAAGATTAATGGAAGATCAAAAAAAGGGTTGTCTATCTGTACAGATAACAAGAATTTCCAGAAACCATGAAGATACAGGGAATCAAAGACTAATGCTCTGACTAGTTGGAGATAAATGCTCTCTCCCTTGACTCTTCCCAGGCTTTAACAGTAACACCTTCCCCTCTTCAAAAGCATTCCACTAAACACAGCGGTACTGTGTTCAGGCCTCCAGCCTCCCTTGCACTGTCCCTGTCTTGTATTAGCCTCAGATTTATTTTTGTCCGAGGCAGCACAGCCTTGTTTTCCTCACAAACTCAGGACTGTGACACTGCTAAAGCAGAAATCTTGATCTCCATGTCAAAGATACCATTAGAGCATGGCTTCATTCACAGCATACAAATCACAAAACTGTTTAGATTGGAAGACACCTCTTGGTATCATCTAGTCCAAGCCCCTGCTCAAGCTGGGTCAACTAGAACTGGTTGCCCAGGACTGTGCCCAGTACACTTTGTACTTTAACATGCAAAATTAAAGAGAAGAAAATCAATTCACATAGATGTGTGAATGTTTACAAGCCATGATATAAAACAAGCCAGAAAAAGGACCGGTGCCCATCCACCATCCAGTCTTTCTTCAGGAAACGCATCAGATCTGAAGTTCAAAGACAGCAGCCTCCTGTTGATGAGGATCTCAGTCTTACACCTGGGTCCTTCAGCTCCAGCACCAGACATGCCTTCTGGCAGGCTAAGGACTCCTACCATGCCAGATGGAAACACGGACAAACTTCCCCATGCATTTGATTTTTGCATCAATCTCCAGTAAGAAAAGATGGGTTTGTGTAGAATAACCAGATGGTATTTAAGGAGAACTGAGTATAAAGCTTATACCTTTGAGGGAGATTTAACATGAAAGACAAACTAGCAGATATAAGAAAAAGCTAGAGATGGAGAAAAATCTTTGTCATTCTCATCACACTGCTGCTTGTCAACTGAGTAATGATAACTAGCTCAGCCAGAATTGCCCAGCTCCTAAAGGGTTCTGCCACCCTTAAAGTCCTGAAATACAGCAGACAATAAAAAAAACCTCACCCTGTTAAAGTGGAGTTCCTCTTGGTTTTGCTTACAGAAAAGAAATTAACATGCCATCATATGATCAAAAGTATTACATTAAGAATCATCTGGGAGCTCACAAAAGAGAAGGGAATCTCACTTCCAAGGCAGAACAAATCTCTCCCAACAGGCTTCACTTAACGGCTGTATTGTTCTAAAAAACTTAACACCAACGGTGTGGCTTGGTGCAGTGGAGGGTGTGTGCGTGAGGAGCAGGTAAAGTAGAGATACAACTGACTACAGGCAACCCCTCATTCCCGGCTTGAATCAAGAATGCACGCAGGCTGGAGGGCATCATTCCCAATCTCCCTCTGGGAGGGAGGGAGCTTACCTCCAGGGAGGTGGCTTCCCCAGCAGCTGCCTGTGCTGCTGCATATAAGGCAGTTTGCAACACAG